CTTTTCCAAACAACTGCGCTCTCTCAGTGCCATCGCTATCCGAGTTTCTTTAGAGGCACTTTATCTGCCTTCTTTGCTCACGAGCCAGTTTACGCTCTTATCTGTTTTTTATGCTCCACATTACGTACTGTTCATATCTCTGTCTTTTGCTCTGGCCGTATTGACCTTCACATCAAAAGACAGGAACCATGAACAAAGAAGAACAAGAAGAAGAATACTGACGCTCATGAGCATCGTTTGTATTCGTTTTTTAACATTTGACAATCAACAAGGATGAAATGATTTTTAAGCGTTGTGAGCGTGAATCGGACCGCGGCCTCAGTTTTTCTAAGGACTCTAATTTATTCATTCGCGTCGCATTCTTCAACATGCTCCTACTTCTTCCAACCGTGGCTCTTTCAAACGCGCTCGTTAAACCTTAAGTTTGTTCGTTGCATAAAGAGCACTTAGATCACAGATAAGGTGGTGATTGGAGCAATTGCATTCATGTGCTCCAATGTTCAGTGACACGAACGGATTTAGGGCAAGTGAGTATGTCACCTAATCTAATCCACTCGAACGGGTCGGACATGTGCCTCGTTTCGTTTCGAGTATTTTGTGTTACCTCGATTATTTGAAAAGCGTTTTTATACAAAATAAATGCGTTTTTAATAAATATTGGGTCATTTAAAAGTTATATTATGTTTTTATATTATGGACGAATTAATTCCAACACCTAATATTTTATTTTATTTTATTTTATTAATTTATTATATTGTTATAAATATATATTATATTTTTATATTTATATCAAAATGCATTTATTAAATGCGTTTTTATACAAAATGAATCTGAAATATTGGGTCATCTAAAAAGTATCCGCGGTTTTTAGATGACCCAATATTTATGCTAGATACATCTTTGATACATCATGTGAACATAGCACACAAAACTTGCGTGATGGAAAAGTGCTGAATAGCGCTGATTGGTTGCTTTAGTAACGCATTCTGTATTCCGCAGTCCTATTCCGGACCGTGTGATTTTACCCTAATCGTTGAAAAAAGCATTGGGTTATCTAAAAAGTATCCGCGGTTTTTTGTCACTAGATGTGTGTTGATGGTCATATATCTAGTGACAAAGTACCGCCAAAGTAATATAATTTAAAACCTATTAACTTCATGTTAATAATTTGCTTATAAAAATGAAATATATTTTTCCAAATTATCACTATTAGTATTTAATGTTTTACAATTAATATTCACAATCTCAATTTTTTGAACTACTTTAACGTATTTACTATCATTTTTCCGTTTCGTGTGAACATAGCACGCAAAACTGGCGTGATGGAAAAGTGCTCCAGCAAATGAGAATGGATTAAAATGGATTGAAATTTTTTTCTATCCGAATGCGTATTTTAAATAGCGAATATTTTTTTTGGATTTATAATAATTGGATTCATTTGGATTCAATCAGATGCAATTGGAATAAAAACTGCATTTCCTATTCAAAATTTTGAATTGAACAGTATTCACAATTGTCTTTGTGTACACAGAAAGAGCTAATATTATTTTTAGATTGAAAGACATAGAGATATGCTCCATGCAATTCCTATAAATAAATTAAATATGCATTCAGAATTGAAAAGCATTCATTTTAACATTCGTGAATCAATATTTCTGAAAATCTGAATCCATTTTAATTCATTTCAATCCATTCTTGTTTGCTGGGGCGGAGAAGGACACACTGAAATCGCACATAATGTATTGTTTTTTAAATTTTGGTATCTATATTTATGCACTCAGATTTTGTCATTTTGCTTCATTCGATATTATGCAATTTCATCATATCAATCAGCATCAAATTATTTTAATACTCTCAAAATACGACGGTTTATTAAACTGGAAACACAATGAAAAGTACAGGCAATAGGAACAGGGAATAAAAGATTTCAACCTATCAGAAAGCGTTCATTCTATTGGGTCATCTAAAAAGTATCCGCGGTTTTTTGTCACTAGATGTGTGTTAATGGTCATATATCTAGTGACAAAGTACCGCGGATACTTTTTAGATGATCCAATATTATTCATGGTTTCTGATAAGTTGAAATCTCTTGCTTTTTATTGTGTTTCCAGCTTTACAAGAATAATGACGCACTCGCTATTCCGTAACATCAAATGCGGAATAGCGCTGAGTGATTGTTTCAATGACCTAGTTTCCATCGAGAGTTTAATTCGGATTAGAATGTAAGAATCAACCAACTACAATCAAGCATTCCCCTGTCGTTCGACTGTAACAGGGAAATACTTGACTATAGTTGATTGGTTCTTACATTCTAATCTGGATTAAATCCTTGAAAAACTAAGCCAATGACGCATTCTCTATTCTGCAGTCCTATTCCGCACTGTGTGATTTCATTCAAAAGCCTGATGCTAGAAATCGATCGAGATCTCGGATAAAAAAAATTAATAAATCACATTTGAACAATTGATCACATGACTATTGTAATTGGCTAATTTTTTCTTCATCCGAGATCTTGGATCAATTTCTAGCATCGTGGACACAAGAAGTTTGTTTGCGTCGCATGCTCCAAATTAATCCAGAGAGCACTTGAATCACAGGTAAGATGGTGGTTAGAATAGTTGCATTCACGTGTTCCAATGTTCAGTGACACGAACAGATTTAGGACAAGTGAGCATATCACCTAACCTAATCCGTGACACTACTCAAACGGATCGGACATGTGCCTCGTTTCATTTCGGGTATTTTGTGTTACCTCGATTATTTGAAAAGCACTTTTATACAAAATAAATGTGTTTTTAATAAATATAAAAGTTATATTATATTTTTATTTTTATCAAAAACGCATTTATTAAATGCGTTTTTATACAAAATAAATCTGAAATGCTTTTTTCGATACAGTATGTTTTCAACCATTACGCAAGCGTACGTAACATGGCCCAATCGTATCACCTTCTGAGATGAAGCAAATGGAGCGTGAGTGCATACTCCATGAATCAATTAAGAACATGCTCCATTTGCCTCACTTCAGAAGGTGGTACAATTGAGACATGTTACGCAGGCATGCGTAAGGGTGAAATCACACGGTGCGGAAAAGGGCTGCGGAATAGAGAATGCGTTTCATTGAAACAACCAATTAGCACTATTCAAAATAACGCAGAACACTGATTGGTTGTTTCTATGACGCATTTTCTATTCTGCAATCGTTTTCTGCACCGTGTGATTTCATCCTTACGGCATGCCTGCGTAACATGCCCTAATTGTACCACCTTCTGAAGTGAGGCAAATGGAGCGTATTCTTAATTGATTCATGGAGTATGCTCACGCTCCATTTGCTTCACCTCAGAAGGTGATACGATTTCATTCTAAGGTGCGGAATAGAGAATGTGTTATTGAAACAACTTAGCGTTATTCCGCATTTGATGTTGTAGAATAGCGAGTGCGTCATTGTTCTTAATAAACGTCGTATTTTGAGAGGTTAAAATAAATTGATATTGATTGATATGATGGAATTGCGTAACATCGAGACAAATGAAGCAAAATGACAAAATCTAAGTATATAAATATAGATATCAAGATCAAAAAAACAATGATGCATTACGTGTGATTTCAATGTGCCCTTTTCCGCACTTTTCCATCAGGCTAGTTTTGTGTGTTATGTTCACACGATGCGGAAAAATGATAGTAAATGCGTTAAAACAGTTCAAAGAATTGTCATGAAATTGTAAATATTAATTGCTACAATTAATTACTAAACATTTAATACTACAGTGATAATTGTTTTTACAATTTGAAAAAATATATTTCATTTTAATAAGCAAATTATTAACATGAAGTTAGTTTTTAAATTATATTTATGCTGGATACATCTTTGACGCATCATGTGAACATAGCACATAATTCGTTATCTGATATTATGAAAGTTAGATGTTCATTACTTTTGCAAATTTGTTTAAAATAATTTATATAATAAAAAAACCAATATATTGTACCATTAAATGGACTACCATCTACCTACGTTTTTTTCTCTCTTTTTATTAATGGACTTTTAACATTTACTGATATTACTGATAAGAATTTTTTTATGACTACTTTAATTTTTGATAAAAATGAGCAGCGTACTACAGAATGATGAATACAGGATTAAAAATTAAAAATTATAATAGTATTGTATAATTATAATATCATGTACATATTTTTGATTTAGAACGATGTTGAAATATATAATATTACAACAAATAATATTACAACTATTGAAAATGATTTGATTGGAATCGAAATGTTTGTTATCAATTGTAATTGTTTATATGAATTTTTAATGCTAATTTAAATTAAAGTTCTTTGCTATATTATTGGCTCTTTGCCTTTCTTTTGTACCACATTGTTTTATACGTACAAAACCTTATTACTAATTATTAATAGCACATGCCTAATTATTAATAGCAAAAACTTGCGTGATGGTGAAGTACTGAATAGCGCTGATTGGTTATTTCAATGATGCATTCTATATTCCGTAATCCTATTCCGGACCGTGTGATTTCATTCTTAGGATATATCCACACACACACACACACACACACACACACACACACTTGTATAGCTGCGTAAACGTATGCGTAAAGAAAATTATCCAATCGCATTTCTCTTAAGTTCAATGTCCACGAGTTCTCGGATCGAGAAATGTGTAGCCAATCAACTTGGCGATTTTCATAAATACTGTAAACTGATTGGCTATACATTTTTCGATCCGAAAACTCGGACCGAGTTCTAATGTCTACTGCACACTGGATGCGATAAGCGATGAGTGACGAGCGATATCCAACAAGAGCTTTGCTTTGTGTCGTCACGTGAGAAAAAGCACAGCTTTTATTAGATATCGCTTGTCGTTCATCGCTCATTATGTTCAGTGTGTAGTAGGCATAACATTATGGACATTGGGCTTAAAGATTCGAGTCATATTTCGTGGACTTTGGGAACGCACTCATTATTAGCTTCGGCATAGCCTGGCATAGCCATAGTGGCGAATGAAAGGGAAAAAATACTTACTCTCTCCGTATTAACCTGCGATGTCGAGTTGATTTTTAATTCCCGGTGCACGCTCGAAGCTCCATTTTTTTAAAACGGACCAGAGCGCTGAATATGGCCAGCAAAGTATGGCATACAGAATTGTGGAAGTCATGGGATAAGCATGGGAAAAATGATTTGTAAGTGGTGTTGTTTGCGCGTCGCCTAGTCGACGCGATCGACACGATGCATTGCTGGTCGCGAAAACACTTATCTTCTCCCCGTTAACTCGCTCTACTGAAGACTTAATTTGTCAATTCACGACTGTTTGCAGCCTCAAGCTAATCAAGCACAAATTTAAGGAAGGCAACACACCAGGTAATAAGGCAACGAGTATATGCTCTGAACGCGTTCAGAGCCAGCATGCCAATCCGCTTTATGTATCCAACCAGTGATACATGACATGATGTGACACAATGGATCATTATATCCTTGTTTGCCAATGTTAAACAAAGATGACATGATCACTGTGATTGTTCCTGCATGCACAAGCACAACCTTCCTTATATATTCCTTAGCATATGTACATGTTCTACATATTGCTTAGTATAACGCAATTTTATGTATTTCGATTTCATGATACAATTATCAATTTTTTATTCATTTACTTATTTATAAATTATATGTACTCTTGAATAGTATTTCGAATAGGGCTGAAAATACCTGTAATTTTTTCTTTCTGTTTGAATCTTGTTTTTCTGTTTAATTTTTTAATTTACTTAATATACTTTGCATTTTTTTATTGTATAGATCATTTATATAATGAGACCAGATGTTTTGCTTTTAGTGCAACAGTTCCGTTTTCAAGGTGATCGTTTCACTGTTCTGCTAATATCTAAAAATATAAAAAAATAATTTGCACTATTTTTTAAAAACGAACTATTATTATTAATTTAATGCTTTTGAGACTTCTACTGGTACTTTCTACTTATACAAGAGCTATATAAAAGTATTTGGCAGGTTATGTCTATGTCCATTAGAATACCAGTGTTTTATGAACATTGTAATTTACTTCATCAATATGATACTATATTTATCTTTATATTATTATATATCTAAATATTATATTTATCTTTATATATCTTTATATATCTAAATATTATATTTATCTTTATGTCCATTTACATTCACCTCTATCCCTTAACATAAAGTTTCTTGCTTTGCTAAAAATATCTGGTCACATTAATTACACAGATATAAAATAAAATTTAATGTTGATCCTGATAATAGACCATAGTATTCTTACGTACATTGACATTCTGAAACTACAAATCCAATGTCTAAATTGCTTTATCAAGTCACAATTTTTTCAATGGAAAATAGCATGATTTTCTTCATTACTTTCAGAACAATTTACAGTCTGACTTTTAATATGCAAGCTAAAGTAAAAGAAAGTAAATTCAACGATAATATGCAAGTTTATAAAGTTGATATACAGCTGGTTAAAACAGGTGGAAATTATTTTTTATCGATAACAAAAATTATGACGTGATTGAATTTGATCTCAGAGCATCAAAATACATAATCATGATCTAATACTTGGATCAAAAGAAAATTGTTGTATATGTGATATATAAAGCAGTTATGATGACTTGCATATTGAAATAACGTCACAATGATGAATTTTCTTGTTTTTTTGCACTGAGATTTTGTAAAGGAAATAGGAATCAAAAGCATATATGTTATTTTAAGTTTTCATTTTGTATTTATATTTGGTATTCTATTCTTCTACATATATATGTAACGTTTTATATTTAAGTTACGAGTATTTTTCAGTTCGCGATCCAATTGACACAGTGTAACATTGTGAATCACATCATTCTTGTTATCTTGCAGTGTTAAACAAGAATGAATTAATTCATCATGTTACATCGTGTCAACCATATCTCTTGCTTGAAAATTTTCTATATTATTTGATTGTATAATTGTGACATTGTACATTTTGATAAAGGATTTTTATTATTTTTTTTTTATAGAATGGAGACGCGGATTATACGAATTAATATCAAATGGAATCCATGGAAACGTAAAAAAGGACATTGTAGTTCAGACATTAGGTGAACTTACGGTATGACAAGATTCTTTTTATTATCCTAAACTTTGTACAAAATTGTATCGAAATTAAGTGATATTGTAATATACTAACATATATAATTTATTTGTAGAGTTTTGATGGTTCTATACCATCTGCAATAGTGGACATATTTACTTTAATTGATGCAGAAGCTCATAATGAAGAAAGGAGTAACTTTTATTATATTGTGAAAGAGTCTGAGAAGGTATAAGATAGAATTATTTATATTTATATATTTTTATATTTAATATTTTCTACTGTATATATATATATATATAATATATACAAAAAAAAGAAAAAAAGGTTGACATGATTAGCAGAACTAAAATGGCATTATCGATGATTCTAATATTATAATATCCGGAATTACTATAATACTTTTCATTTATTTTAATTAATTGAGCTCAAGTTTCAGTCTGTTACCTTAACTTCTTATTTATTTCCTACAGTTTTTGACCGATAGAATATTGAAAGAACGTTTAGAGATTGAAACTTTACAAGATGTAGGCACATTGAAAAACAAAAATTTTCAAACCAAGTTTATAAAAGTAAAAACCAAGTTGTAGTAAGTATTTTCTCATCAATTTATATAAAGCTTATTTATAGAGTAAACAAGTTTCTTACAGCTTACCTTTTTGCAGTTATAAACAAAGGAAATTTAATTTATTTCGTGAAGAGAGTGAGGGCTATTCCAAGCTCATTGTAGAATTAAATCAAGAGCGTCCAGACAGTGAGGTGGCGTCGACATTGGAAATTGTTAAATCTCTTATTGGTATGAATAACTGGTTAATGTTTTTATTGCAAGTACAAATATCGCTTTTTTCAGAGGTCTATATTTTGCAAGAATTATATAGTTTTAATAAAAATAAAAATTTATGAGTAACTAAATTAAAGGAAAAAGTAATAAAAGTACAAGATGATATTGTCCTTACAGGTTATTTCAATCTTGATCCTAATAGAGTACTCGATATCTTATTAGAAACCTTTGAAAACCGACCACAAGATGATGCTCTATTTATTCCCTTAATACGTTCATACATGAGCGATCAGCAGGTACTTTGTGAAGTGTTAGGATTCAAATACTGCTCCACCATAAACGCTACGCCGTTCTCGCTGCAGAAGGTTACCGCGTTAATGCTGCAGCATGGTGTGATTAAACTGGATGATATATTACCTTGGCTAGTGCCAGACGATAAAATTATTATATCAGATCACGAGCAGGTAATGAAGCAGGCCAAGGAATACGTGCGGAAATTGAGCGTGATCTCAACAAAAGACAAAGAGGACATTGTAGAAGAGAAGGAAAACGCACAAGTAATGAACAAAAAGAAATTTTACAAATTTTTGTCACACATTTGAGTTTAGCAGAAAAATTGGTGAAACGTGACTAGTGAAAGAATACATCTATATTCAAAATTTATAATAATTTGCAAATAAATTTTTAAATTAGACTTATAAAACTGTGTATTTTTGAAAAAAAAAATGCCAATTTAAAATCGTATATAAGATTTAATTTTTTTTAGCAGTTATGTTTAATTAATTGTTCACATTTTGATCTCTCTTTCATTTTAAAGGACAAATATGCAAGCAATCAAAAATTTGGATTATGTGAAGCGCTTTTGGAAGTTGGAGCTTGGGAAGTGGCACAAAGTTTATTCAATCGCTTGCCGGATTATTGTTTTACAGATCAACGTCCCATAGCACTAGCATTGTGTAAAATGATTCAGGCTCTTGTTGAATCCGTATACAGAAAGTAAGTTATTAATGTATCCATTAGAAATGTGCAAATCAAAGTTTTTTTATGTCGAATCGATTAGAATCGAATTTCTTTGTTTGAATTCAAATCAAACCAGATTAAAAAAATTTTTCCCGATTCGAATTAATTGTATTGAATCATTGAAACATAATTTTTGACATATTATTAACATATTTATTAAGTTAAATTTTATATAATAATTAAACAGAATACAAATAATAAAACAGAATCTGTACCGAAAAAAAGGGAAACCTAGAATTCTCATGGAATTTCTTTTTTTATTCTTGTACAATAAAATTTTTATGAGATTATACAAGAAAATTTTTGGAAATTTAGTTTTAAATGTAAATTCTTTGACAAAATCATTTCCTTTGCTAATGCAATGAAAATGAAATATCAACAATCCATTAATGATACACATGATACACATCCGCGCGCACGCGCGTGTGTGTTAGACTGACAAGAAAAAAAATTTTTTTTAACCAGCCTCAGCACAAAAGCTTCCACTTCATGTCAAAAGAACACTTCTAAATTTTTATATAAAAATATTGAGATATAGAGGAGAACAATTTTTAAATCAAAGTTTCAATTTTCCTTGAGGCTCCTGAATAATCACCACAGTCATATTGAATGATATCAGAAGCGAGAAATGACATGTTAATTTTTATTACATGTTATTTATAAATAAAGACAATTTAAATTTATTTTTGCTTATTTTCACTTACACTTACCTTTATCACTTTTTACGATTATTTACTGACTGTCAGGGAGGATAAGCAGTTTTCATTTTTACAAATGTTTTAAAGCGATTTCATCGTTTTGTTTTATCTAAATTGTTTTTATTTATAAATGACATGTAATAAAAATTAACGTATCATTTCTAGCTTCTGACGTCACGATTCAATATGGCTGTGGTGACTACTCAGGAGCCTTAATACATGTTTGATTTGATGCAAAAATGGTTTAATCTGGATTTTAAATGAGATACTGTTTTTTTGGTCGTTGAACACGATGCAACAATTCATTTAGCTCTATGATATACCTTAAGAAATAGAGCTCGATTAATGTGAAAAAATGATCAAATTTCGAGGTCGATTTTAGCAAGGTTCCAACCGTTCAAATGGATTGTTACTCCCTTCAAATTGTAGGTCTTGTTCATCTAGAACAAGATCTAGTTGGAATTTTCCTGGGACCTCTTACCTTAAAGGGCCTTTTAAAAGTTATATTTAACTGGATTATAAAACGTTTTTAAGGATAAAAAAATTTTTTTAGAAGTTCTAAAATATATCGCTTTGTGGTTTTGACATCCTCAAATTAAATGCCTCAATTTGACGATATAAAACTCTTCATTAGAAAATGAGTACATAAATAAAAAAAAAAAGATTTAATTAATTGAAATAAATACTACATATTATGTAAATTAAATTTTAATATTTTTTGAAAAAGATTTGAGGATGTTTTTTTGGCATGAATTGAAAGCTTTTGAGCTGTGTGTGTGAGAGGCCGATTAAAAAAAATTTTTTTTTTCCATGTCAATCTTATCGTCTATATACATAAATATGATATAGAATGATACATATTCACGTATGCACATACAATGTACATACTTTTTTGTGTAACTGAATTTTTATAAAGAAAAGCAGGATAACAATAAAAGAACGCTAGCAAAAATTATTTTGAATCGCATTTTGTGTTGTTTACAAATTTTTGAATGTAATGTGTGGCACGCGCGTGATGTCGCAAGTCAAAAGATTCCAGCACATTAGATTTCTAAGATAACTAAGATTTAATGTTCAAACATTAGCTCCTCTTCTAACGATATTTGACATTTTATTGTAAAGAAGGTTAACGTTATTTTGAAATTCCGATTAGAAATCATAAATGTATTGTTCATCCTCTACCTATATAAAATTTATTAAATCTAATATCTTATTTTTTTAGTTGTGTTATGATGGATGTAAATACAGAGTTTTTTCTAAAATAACAAATTTTCTGTCTATAACAAAAAAAAGTCAAATATCACAAGAAAATCATTTTTTTGCACATTAAATCTAAATTATCTTGGAAACCTGATATGCTGAATTTTTCTGCTTACGGCATCAGTTTTGGCATTCAAAAATATATAAGAAACGCTAATAATTATTAAATGATGGCAATTGAGAATATCAATACGCAGTAATTCGTGCGTTGTACTTGGGCTGTGTTCATATATTACTGCCAATTGTCAATACAGTATAGTATACATAACGGGAACTATAGATTTTCAGTACTGGCAGTCAACTGGCAGTAATAATAATAACGAACATGGCCTTAAATATAACGTATTTCAAATCTTGAATAAAGATCGAACGTTTCGGCTCCATTCGTGCCATCTTCAGCGAAGTTGAAGCAATATATTGATACACACATAATCTTGATAATATTACAACTGGTCGAATTACTAATTACATTGCGAATTGCGACATTATCATGATTATCAGTACATTGCTTCAATTTCGCTAAAGTAATGACTCGAATGGAGCCGAAACGTTTGATCTTTATTCAAGATTTGAAATACATGTCTAAGAACAATGCACGAATTATCGTGTATTATTTAATAACTATTGGTATTGTTATCTCGAGAGCCCAGTTTTATATTTTTGTTTTCATATACAGAAACATTTTGTATAGTTCAAAGTAATTAAAAGAAAAAAAACTGTTTTGCAAAATATATAACAGAAGTCAATATAAAACTTATTTTGTAATGAATCTTTTTTAACTATCGCGCGCGCGCGCGTGTGTGTGTGCGTGTGTGTGTGTGTGCGCGCGCGCGCGCGCGCATGCTCTAGAGAATGGAAGTACTAGTTACTATCGTTATTTAATTAGTTACTTAAGCCGACAGCACATGATGCTTGTTTTTCTGAATTGCTAGCTGCAATTAGAATCTTACCACTGTATTGATTACGATGCTGATAGTGTCAACATCGTAACTATGGTTGCAAAATTCTAATCCTAGCAATTTAGCAGGAAAACGAAAATTGTATATCGCCAGCGTTAGTTACCTTATTGTAATAATGATTTAATAATGGCGTTAACTAACAGTAATCTTAGATTATAGTCCAGTCATTTCAATCAGTCTTTTAATCAACTTTATTAATAATAAAGATTTATTGACAAAAAGAATTGTAAAGAAAAAGAAAATCACCAGAAAGAATGTGCAAACATACCCCAACAAATAGTATCTCCACTTATACATAAATATTTGTTCGCTGCATGCGTGAGATGGGGATCAGCATGAAAATACTGCAGTATTGTTTGTGCCATGCGAGAAATATTTGCGTAATTGTATTGGATAATTAGTGGGATATGTTCGTACTCCGCCAGTGTACTTAAGAGTTAATATACGCATGAATTTCAAGTGCGTATAAGTTAAAGGATCCTGCACTAATCCTATGAAATTAAGTAAGGTGAAATCAAATGGTTTTCTCATATATTATAACTTACGACCTGCTAAACAAAACATATAAGTTTTAGCGCAAAAAAATGAACAGTTTTCGATTCATCTACAGTCGCTGACATCTCACTTATATTATAAAATATTCAATAACTTCTAAACGACTGATCTAAAATGGATAAAATTATAGTGATTTGAAAAGGTTTCAATAAGGGCTATAAGAAAATGAAAGAAAAAAATGAAGGGTCTTACTTAAAAAATTTCAGTTGATTACTTTGCCCTATCTTAGCGACGCCACTCAAAGTCAAATTGATAAAGCTAGCGGCTAGGCCTTTTTAAACTCTACGACTTTTATCTAAAATATTTTATAAAACTTAATTTAATAATTAAATAAAACTTATAGTTTTCCAGATATTTTGCCATCTCGGAACATTTTATGTTCCTTATGATTATATATGGTGCATATGATATATCCCACAATTACATACTATCATATTTAATGTTTAATGTATGTATACATATAAAACGATACTTTGTTACAGAATATGTAGTGCAATTTCTAGGATCTGAAAATAATTTAATAAATAATTTTTTTTGAGAAACAATTTTTTATTAAGTAATATAATTGCATATCGCATATGCATGTATGAACACACACACACACGCACGCACACACACGCACGCACGCACGCACGCACGCACGCACGCACGCACGCACGCACGAACGCACACATGCACGCACGCACACACACGCACACGGGACCACACCTTTACCACATCCATGTCGTTGGTCCTGGATTACTCTAAGAGTAGGAAATGACACTACATGTTCTGTAACAAAGTATTTATATATGTGCACATAGCTTGGACATTATGTATGATAGTATGTGATTATATGTGGCATTATATACATATCATATATATAATCATCTAAAAAACATTAAATGTTTCGAGACGGCAAAATATCTGAAAAACTAAGTTTTATAAAAAAAATGTTTTAAATGAAAGTTGTAGAATTTAAAAAGGCCTAGTTGTTAGCTTCATCAGTTTGACTTTGGGTGACATCGTCAAGGTAGGGCAAAGTCAACCCGAATTTTTTAAGTGAGACCCCCCCCCCCCCACTTTTTCTTATAATCCTTGCTGAGACCTTTTCAAAACACTATAATTTTATCCATTTTAGATCAGCCGTTTAGAAGTTCTTGAGTATTTTATGGTAAGATGTTAGCGACTGTAGGTGAATCGAACACGAAAAGTAATTATTAATTTTTTACTACTTAATTTTTTTGCGCTAAAACTTTTATATTTTGCTTAGCAGGTCATAACATATGAGAAAACTATTTGATTTTACCGGGACTCAATTTCATATAGGATTAATGCGGAATCCTTTATTAAGATTAGAAATAGGATTGCTCATATGAATACATTAACTAAAGTTTTATTAATGTTTTTTGTTTCCGCACTAGAATTCTCTTTCTTGCTTTCGTCAAAATTAAACATACCGATCTCACTTTAAGTTCCAAAAGTTCAGTTACAAAAAATAAACCCCATGTAAGAGAAGCGCTAATTTCGGTTAAAGTTAGATGTTAGAATAGTACACCTATATGTATTTAAATAAATTTATCTCAAATATATGAGTCATGACTGTGGATTGATATTTTCGGACTTGGAACACAATCAAATTAAATAGTATAATAATAATATTTCCCCAAATTAAATTAGATCTTTTATTTGATGCTACTATAGAATCTTAAGAGGGCGCCCGATTTGATGCTACCTATAACATCTTAAGGAGCCCAAAAAATAGATGATTTTTCATGATTTTTAAAAAAGAAATAGTTTATAGTTTTAAAATCTTTTACACGTTTTAATACTATTATTCAAGAATGTAATTAATTTTTTTTGTATATATAAAAAAGTATTATTAATGACAAAAAAATTAACATTGAAATTTACGCCTCGCTGTCAACGTCATCATTTTGTGTATATTCTGACGACTTTAAAGCCTGTTCTACAATGTGCTTTTTGTTTTTAGTTTCTTGCTTTTTGCTATTTTTTACATCTTGTCTTTTTGCTTCTTATTCGGTTTTTTGTTTTATATCGCCTAAGATAAGAGTTAACGAACTTCGAAAGAAACAAGAAATACATAACAAGAAATTGTTGATAAAACGATTGCAAAAGAGTTAAAAGCAAAAGGTAAAAAACAAGAAACAAGAAACAAAGAGTACATTGTAGAATAAGCTTAATTCTTGTCTAAAACAAAAAATCAAGAAATATTTTTAATTTTCATATATTTATCCTATATAATTTTATCCTAAATGAACCTTTTAAAAAAATAAAAAAAAAATAAAAAAAAAAGATTTCGAGTATTTTTGCACTGCAATTGAGGT